GAACCTAGTTTTTTTTTTTTTAAATACAGAAACTACAGAAGAAGTTAAGCCACATTGAAAATCTACCTTAATTGTAGAGCCCCTTGATTCTGAACAAAAACTACCCTGACACTGAAGAAAAGCCTGCAGGATGCCTGTGACCTGTGACCACACGGAATGCAGCCATGTCACAAGAGGACATGTCCTTGGAACCTCAGCCTAGTCACCCGCTGTCCACATTTACCATGTGAGGAATTGTATGTTTTCTCTCTTTTTTTTTCTTTTATTGAAAATAGATTCTCTTCTCATATCATATATCCTGATTACGATGTTCCCTCCCTCCACTCCTCCCAGTTCCTCCTCACCTCTCCTCCCATCCAGATCCACCCCACTTCTGTCTCTCATTAGAAAAGAACAGGCTTCTAGGAGATGACAACCAAAGATGACAAAATAAAGTAAAATAAGATAAACTGAAAACTAACACAATGGAGTTCGACAAGATGAACAAACAGAAGAAAAGAGCTCAAGAGAAGGCACAAGGGTCTCTGATTCTCTATATTTGTTCCCATCTGCTGCAGGAGGAAACTTCTCTGATGATGGCTAACCAAGGCATGGATCTATGAGTATGGCAGAATGTCATTAAGAGTCATTTTGCCACCATGGTGTTTTGTTGTTATTTTTTTTAGATGAGTAGTATTTGGTTTGAGTTTTACCCTAGGTTCTTGAACTATCTAGTTTCTGGTTCTTGGTCACATAAGAAGTGTCAGGTATGGGTTCTGTGGTATTCAAGTATAATTGGGCCCCATAAGCACATAGGGAATTGCACTATTGAGAGGTGTGGTTTTGCTGGAGTAGATAGGGCCTTGAGGAAATGTGTTACTGTAGAGGCAGACATTGAGTTCTCCTATATAGTCAAGCCACACCCAGTGTCTCAGACTACTTCCTGTTGTTTCAAATCCTTCTCCAGCACCATATCTGCCTGAATACTGCTACCGTGATGCTATTGGACTAAACCTCTAAAACTGTAACCACTCAGTTAAATGTTTTCCTTTACAAGAGTTGCCATGGTCATGGTGTCTCTTCACAGCAATAGAAACCCTAACCAAGACAGGTCCATCTCATGGAGTGGCCTTTAAGTCTAATCAGATATTGGTTGGTTATTCCCATAGGCTTTGTGCTACCATTGCCCTAGCATGTCTTTGTAGTTGGTAGCATTCCAGCTTTGATCTGGAAGTTCCAACCCCCACTGAGGCTTCGGTAACTGTCACGCCTACAAGGCAGGGCCAAGAGAGGACCCTGAAGACCCGAGATCCGGCTGGGCCACCTGGTTCCTGGACCCTAGACGCTGGAGGTAGACCAAGCAGAGTTCTCCAGATTGCATTGCTAGACTGCGCTACACCTTTTCCAGACCCTGTTACCTATCCCTTCACTTGTGAGTTACCCACAAAATAAACCTCCCTTTTAACTACATGGAGTGGCCTTAATAATTTCACCAATATGTCTTGGAGGCTGGACACCATTGTAGACCAAAGGGGTTGTGGCTGGGTTGGTGTGAATGTTTCTCTTTTGGTATCATGCAGAATACCTTCCTGTACCTGATAGAACATAAGGATGAAGGCTCTTTGTAGGCACCAGTTCAGCTTCTCTAGGTTCAAGGAGTTGTGTGGGTTTTGTCTTTAGCAGTGAGGCTTCAATGTTAGTTTGTGGAGAGCAGCCCATTTGTCTTGGCAATAGACTGGGTTGTTGAGTGTTCCCATGCGAATCACTTTAGCCAACAACTCAATTAGATACAACCATACCCCAGTACTGGAAGCTTCCTTTGCTGACAAGAGAAGGACAGTTTGAACTCTGTCTCCTCATTATTTGGCAATTTCATTTAGAGTCCCTTCATATGTGTATATATTTCAGGAAGCTTCTATTATACTAGGTTTCCATACTACCTCTCAAATGCCCCTTAATTTTAGCTGTCTTTCTCTGTATGCCCTCCCTCAGTCAACTCTCCCTTCCACTTCACGTGATGCTCCCATTCTAGCCTACCATCCATAACTTTTCTCTTTCCCTTTCCTAATGAAATCTATCTGCTCCCTCTGGTCCCTTACTCTATACCTATCCATGTGGTTCTATGGATTGTAGCTTCGTTGTCATTGGTTTCACAGCTAATATCCCCATATAAGCAAATACATACCATATTTGTCTTTCTGGTTCTAGATTACCTCACACAGGATGATTTTTCTAGTTCCATCCATTTGCCTGCAAATTTCATGATGTCACTTTGTTTTGATAGCTTAGTACTGCTCCATCGTGTAGAGGTATGTTTTATGTGTAAAGGTATGTCTTCATCCATTCATCTGTTGAGGGACAACTATGTTGTTTCCAATTTCTGGTTTTTATGAATAGAGCAACAGTGAACGTGGTTGAACAAGTGCCTCTGTGGTAGGATGAAGCGTCCTTTGGGTGTGTGCCCAAGAGTGTTATAGCTGATCTTGAAGTAGATTGATTCCCATCTTCATAAAGAACTACCACACTGATTTCCATAGTGGCTGTATGAGTTTGTACTCCCACCAGCAATAGATGGTCACATAGAATATGCATTTTTATCGTCAACGTGTATAGTTGGAATTAGAGTACAATATGTAGTCATACTTCACTAGGAATATGTGAGACCAAATAGGAGATGAGAGTATCCAATCAGCAGTAAGGAAATGAAATAAAAGCGTACAATTTAATGATATTCTAAAGTAGATTTCTCTAACTCTGAAGGCAATAGCAGACACAGAGCTGCTATGGCCACCTCTCCACTCTTCTATTTCATTCCATTCTTTTCTGAAAATGTTGGCATCATTGGTGTTGCTATCACCAGGTAATGTGAACTTCAAGAGTAATTTTCTTTTCAAGAAAGGGCCCCACAAAGGCAAGACTGCCCTCAGACTCACTATGAAGCTGACGATGACCTTGAACCTTGTGATCCCCCTTGCCTCCACATCCTGAGTGTTTTGATTACAGGCCTGTGCCACCATACACAGTTTATGTGGTGCTGGAGATTAAACCCGGGGTTTCATGCATGCCAGGCAAGCACTTTACCAACAGAGCTATGCTCTGATCCTTCAGAATTGTTTTTTGGAACTACAGTTTCAGGTCTGTGGTTAGTTTAGTAGTGTGAGTTGTGTTTGGATTGGATTCCTGTGTCACGTGTACTTACAGGAGCTCTGATTTCCTCTTATGTGGAATGGCAACCATGCCAGTCAGGACTTCCACATTTGACACAGTGCTTGCTGTATTAGAGGTCCCAAACCTCTAGTGATCATCAATTCATACAAGCTCTCTTAATTCTGCTGTGATTCTAACAATTGTTTCTTGTGAATTTAAGAAGCCAATGTTTCTATAGTTTGCCTTTAATGTGGACGTTATTCCTACTTGAACTCTAGCACAGTGGTGCTATCTCTGGACTCAGCTATTAGCTCATCTACATATTTGGATGAAATAGAACAATTTGATATTCAGTTGCTTATGTACATATAGTTAAGGAATCAAGAGTCATGTAAGTATCCTAGAAACAGCCACCTCAGAAAATGTTCTGACAGACAAATACCTGTATACTAAGAATGCTCCCCAGTGGCACTTGGTTTCTAGGCACCTAAGTAGAGGAAGAGAGTTTCCCATTAGTTTCTGGGTGCAGGAAAATGCCAAATAGTAAGAATCCCATGTTTGAGATCTTTAAAAGGTGATACTTTCTGATGAATCTTTAAAATTGCCTCTAAATCAAGTGGTGGTGTCACATGCCTTGAATCCTAGCACTCAGGAGGCAGAAACAGGCAGATCTCTGAGTTTGAGGCCAGTCTGGTCTACAGAGATCATTCCAGGACAGGCACCAAAGCTACACAGAGAAACCCTGTCTCAAAAAACCAAAGGAAAAAAAAGGAGGAGGAGGAGGGGCAGGGGAAGGAGAGAAGGAGGAAGAGAAGGAGGAGACAAAGAAGGATAAGAAGGAGGATAAGAAGAAGGAGGAGGGGAGGAGGAGGAGGAGGAGGAGGAGGAGGAGGAGGAGGAGGAGGAGAAGAAGAAGAAGAAGAAGAAGAAGAAGAAGAAGAAGAAGAAGAAGAAGAAGAAGAAGAAGAAGAAGAAGAAGAAGAAGAAGCTCTAGAATTGTCTCTCTCTTATCATCTGGGCACTTAAACACAACCGTAGGCTGTCGTGTGATTTCATACTGACATCTACCATAAGAAGGTCGGTATTCTTACAAGGCCAAACATGTTGGATCCTAACATCTCAACGGCCATTACTGTTTCATTTAGGGGTGAAAATAATACAGCCGAAGAGAAAGTGTTCCATTGGTAAAGAGGAACATAAGGAGGAGAACCCAAGAAAACACCAAGATATGAATCCCATGTGACACAATGGGAAGGGAGAAATTCTGCCTGCATTCATGAACTTGTTCTAGAAATTGTATGACCATATGTATATGTAGGCAGATGTTTGGATATGTGCAGTGTGCATATGTGTACTCATGAGTGTGTGGATGTGATTTTGTGCTGGGTGAAGGTGTATGCATGTGTGTTTATGTATGTGTAGGTCAGAGGTTGATGTTGAGTGTCACTACACTAAACCCAGAGCTGGCTAGGTCTGTGCATCTTGCCTCAAGGATCTTCTTCCTAGGGCACTGGAATTATACCCACCCAGCACTTACATGCATGGGACAAGGGATCCAACTCCAGACAACATGCTTGTGCAGCAAGTCTTTTACCTACTGAGCTCTCTCATCAGCCCCTGAAATATATTTAAAGTGTCATCCTAATTTCTTGTCACTGTGCTAAATGCACTGTGGGCCATCATTATTATATAGTCTCTGACTTTAGGAATCTTTCACATCTAGAAAAGTAAAGTGAATCAGTCATCGGTGGTTACAGAATAGACAATCTCATCAGCAAACTGATATGGGGTATGGTGGAGATACCATATCATGGAAGGGAAGTCATGGGACAGGAAGATGTGGTATCTCAAGAGAAACACAATACAGACTCATCTGAAAAAGCCCCAACAATTTTAATACAGAAAGTGTTTGCCCTTCTAAAACCAAATACACTCAACATTTTGTATAATACATTGAAACTGTCTTGTTCTTCAAAATATCTTTTCTGAGGCTGAATCATGATTACAGGATATGTGGAAGTAAGTTTGTTAATATGACATGGCTACTCAGTATTCTTTAATATAATAGTATATGATTATAAAACTCCACACGTCACACAGTTTATACAAGCTAGGATGGGCTGGCTGTGTGAAAGTGTTAGGTACGGACGGGTATGGATAGATACCTGCTAGCTGCGGTGAACATCCTTTTAACATTGTCCATGTATCCTCTGCCATGAAAGATAAACAGTTAAAAAGAGTTAAGTACTAGTTACTACATAGGCACTGTTGCATGGAAAATGCATACTATGTTTCTGTGCAGTGTGAGCTGGAAATGCTCTCAGAGTCACATGTTTGTGCCAGAAATCTTGACAGTGCTGAACACTCTTAGGAACGATGCAAAACCTCTCGAGTATCAAGTCCTGTGGATACAATTGAAGTATCTGCAGCAAGACTAATTTACTTATTAAGCTAATTACCCTGAAATGCTTTGGTTGTCAGAAAGGTTTTGAAATCAGGGAACTGCTTTGCCACTTCATTCATGTGGGTTGCCTAATTCCCAGTGGCAGTCCCAGCTGAAAACGTGTTCTTTACATATCTTTATCTTAAGTGATACTCGACTAGGAGTGACAAATCCAGTCCTCTCAGAAAAGAGACAGAGAGAGAAAGAGAGAAATGCCATCGAATGACTTCAGACTCTCTTCTGGCTCTGGCACATTCTAAAAGGTGACTTGTGTACTGTCACCCTTGTAACAGACTAAAATGATGCCTAGCATGGAACAAAGATAGTCCAGGGCCTTGGAAATCTCATCTAATCTTGAAGGCCCCCAAATCTTGAGAATATCAGGTGGCTACAGCTTTTGAAGCGAGCTCATGATAATATTTCAGAGAAATTTACTCCAATAAATATAAGAATCTTTATGTCATATGCATAATTTCACACACATGCACACACACAGACAGAGACAGACACGGACACAAATGCACACACATACACGCCAAGGAAGTCTAGACAAAACTGTTGCCAGAAGGCTACAAAGTCCACTCATGTTGATGCCAAGTAATCGTGGCAACCATAACAAAAGCAGTCAAATGCAACCCAGAGTGTCCTGGACTTTCCAAAGCCATTTCACTCCATCCCCTGGGAGCACAGGTAACGAAAGCATGCGGCAGGTTGTGCTTGCTTTTTCACGGATGTAGCCTGGGACCGTATGTTCTGAGCGGCTTCAGATTTTTTCATTGTCATCCACATTGATTTTTTTAAATGCGACGGGGCTTGCCTGCTTCAGAGAAGTCTTAGACACATCTGTGTGCATGGTAGACATGGCTATGGTCTCGTAGTCATCGTCTCGAGACCGGAAATCACAGAAGTTGAAGAAGAACTGCAAGTCTCTCTGGAAGTTTTTGTTCAGGAACCCATAAAAGATAGGGTTGACACAGGTGGAGATCATGGCCGTGAGGTGGCAGAGCAGGAACAGCAGGTTGTGGTTGCAGGTGGCAATGATCTGGTGGTTCCAGTCGAACACAGTGTTGAAGATGGTAAGGGGCAGCCAGCAGACTGCAAAGGCCACCACGATGGAGAGCAGCATGACGTTGATGCGTTTGGTCTCGCTGGACCTGTACTTGCTGTCCCTCATCTTGTCCATCATGTTGTTTCTCCTTTTCAAGCGAATGTATATCTAGGGAGGAAGAAAGCGTGAGTCAAGCAGAGCATCCACCTCCCGGGGAAGGTCTACACAGAGAAGGTAGGCAAGGAAACGATGGGGGAGGGATGAACGGTTTCCTTACCTTGAAGTAGCATATAAATATGAAGCAGAGTGGGCCGAAGTACTGCAGCACCAGAAGGAGGGTCGTGTACGACAACCTGTGAGAGTCTGACGGGAATCTGTCAAAGCACACGTATTTGTCCTTGAAGGCAGCAAGTGTTACGTTTTGGAAGGGTTCATCGGTCAGAACTTGGTAGATCAGGAAGGGCAGAGAAGAAGCCACAGCGAGGACCCAAATGACACCAATGCCGATGTAAGCATGTCTGTTGCTTGGTCTCCACCCTCTTGGGTTGATGATCAGCTGATGCCGCTCCACAGCGATGAGAACCAGAGAGAAAATGGATACCGTGATGGAGACGCATTGGACAAAGGGATTCAGTTTGCACATGGTCTCACCGAAGACCCAGTGGTCCATCAGCGTGTACACAAAAGTGAAAGGGAGACACATGATGGCCACCAGCAAGTCTGAGAAGGAAAGGTTCACGATGAGGATGTTGGTGACATTTCTCATCTCTTTCTGTTTCAGGATGATTATGATCAATGCCAGGTTTCCAGAGACCCCAAGAATAATCACAGCTCCATAAGCAAGAGCCAAAGTAAATATCACAGCCAAGGGCAGGTGGCAATCATCATTTTCAAAAGCCAGAAGTGGAGAGTTCTCTGAGATGTTATAGTGAAATGAGTGATTTTCAACTTGAGAGAAGAGTGTTGAATTCATTTTTTAGGTTTCGTTGTTATCGATTAGACAAATGGACTGTATGTTTCCTCAAAACAGGTCAAATCTCCAGCTTATTCTTATTCCATATATTGGAATCCATTCACCAAAATGATTCTCAATTCTTCATTTCTTTGAACTGAATACTCTGTCAGCAAAAAAGGCCAGCTGTGTTACTAAGTTTATTAAGGGCAGTCAAAATGACTTCTGTCTCACAGAATTCTAAAATTAAAGCACAGAAGTAAATAAACAAATCATAATGTTTTATAAAATTATTATCTTTAAAAGAATCTCACAAGCAGCGCAAACATTTTTTTTTTCAAGACAGGGTTTCTCTGTGTAGCTCTGGTTGTCCTGGAACTCAGTTTGTAGACCGGGCTGCCTTTGAACTCACAGAGATTCACCTGCCTCTCTGCCTCTGAGTTCTGGGATTAAAGACATGTGCCATCACTGCCCAGCTACAGTACAAACACTTAAAAACTTAAAGTTCAGCTATAACGTTTTTGAGACAGGGTCTCTCTCATGTAGCTCAGGCTGGCCTTGAACTCACTTTTTAGCTAAGGATGATCTTAGATTTCTCATCTTCCTGCTCCACCTCCTGAATAGCACATTTGATTTTTTTTTTGGCAGTACTGAAGACTGAACCCAGGGATTAAAGCATGCTAAGCAAGCACTCTACCCACTTAGGTACACCCCCAGCTCCCCAGAAATGTTTTTAACTGGACTTGTTCACATGTTGACTTTCAGTGGTCTACACATTGGTGAACAGTTTGTAAACCTCATGCTTCCTAAGTGTTAGACAAATGGAGCCCACAGCAGATTCTCAGACACAGCAAAAATGTGAATGTACAGGAAACAACATAATGCACAGACGGAAACATGTAACAAAGCCAAACAACATCAAAGAATGTGTAAAGGAAGTGTGAGTGCAGATACCACACTGTGGTAACAGCTAACCACACATTGTGCTGTTTTGAAAGACAGGTGTCATTAAACAAAATCTTCACAAGGAGATGACCTACACAGGAGCATCAAGAAACTTGGTCCTATAAGGGACGGCTTTTGAAAAATGGTATGATGTTTAATGCAGAAAATTCTTCGGACGACAGAGCTGACTTCTTATGCTTTAATGGGTAGTCTATAGCGTATATGGAAGCAAGTTTAGTGGTATGTCTAATGAAATTAGAAATAGGACCAGAGGACATACATAATTTAAGGGAAAAAATGATTTCACCATGAGGAACAAAAATTGAATCAAATGGAAGAAACTCCTTGTCAAAGAAGCAAGTGTTACAACCATGAACATGCTGGCCACCTCGAGGGGCCACTTGAAGGTTTCTCATTGCGTGGGAGATTCCTACTTTAAGACATTATGATTCTGATTATCATGTCAGAAGGTTTCAAAGAATTTCGAACATTTTATCTAAGGAAATATTCTCTCTCCTCACCCAGTTATGTGAGTGTCCAGTGCAGGGGTGTGATTTCAGTTGTAATCTTAGATTTTCACCCCATTGTGTAGTATAAACATACTGCTCTTACTGACAAGATAAATTACAGCAATCACACAGAGATCAGAAGCTCCTGTAGAGAAAGAAAGGAGAAACCTCTGATCATCTCCCCATTGCTAAGGAAATCCATGGGAAAGGATGTCTCATGCTAATTAACTAGCTACTGTGCCCATGTTAAGAGGCTGCATTCTCTCTCTGTCTTTCTTAGAACAATGAATAAAATTGTGTGGATTTACTTCTATTGAAAGGAAAATGAGAAATTTAATGTGCAGAAACATACTTGCTTTTTAAGTGACACCTCTAATAAACCTTTCTTTTGGCAATTTTGCTTTCTAGAACATGAGGTCTGGTCTATTGTCACAATTTAGCTGGATAAGACTCGAGGATAAAACTAAGGGTTGCCGTCATAAAATCGGACTATAGCATTAACACATGGGGACTGAATGACTTTGGGCTGGCTAGTTGTATGTCGACTTGACACAATCTAGAGTCATACGGATGGAGGGAACTTCGATTGAGAAAATGCCTCCATAGGACTGGACTGTAGGCAAGCCTGTAGAGCACTTTCTTAATTAGTGGTTGATGTGGGAGGGCTCCACCCATTGTGGATGGTGCCATCCATAGCCTAGTGATCCTGGGTTCTATAAGAATAAGAAAGCAGGCTGACCTCTGCATAGCGAGACAGTTGTGTAGCATGATCTGCTTAAGGTGCCCTCCGGCAGTAGGATCAGAATTCATCCCTGGTGCATGAACAGGCTTTTTGGAGCCCACTACCTATGATGGGACACCTTGCACAGCCTTGAGGCAGGAGGAGGGGGTTGGACCTGCCTCTACTAAATGTACCTCCCCGTGGGAAGCCTTACCTTCTTGTAGGAGGGAATGGAGGAGGGTAGGTTGGGAGGGGGAGGTTGGAGGGGGGGAGGAGGGAAGAGGGGGATCCTTGACTGGTATGTAAAATGAATAAAAAAAATTCTTAATAAAAAATGTAAAAAAAGAAAAAAAGCAGGCTGAGCAAGCCATGGGGAGCAAGCTAGTAAGCAGTACCCCTCCAGAGCCTCTGGGTCAGCTCCCGCCTCCGGGTTCATGCCCTGCTTGAGTTCCTGTCCTGATGTCCTTCAGTAATGAACAGTGACTTGAAAGCGTAAGCCAAATAAACCCTTTCCTCTACAACTTGCTTTGGTCATGGTGTTTCATCAGAGCAATAGAAATCCTAACTATGGCAGACTTCAAGTGTGGACATTATTAGACTCCAGCTCTCTCTTCTATGCTCCCATCTGAAATGACTTCTGGGATAATCACACATTGTTTTTACCTCACAAATTCCAAAGCCAAGGAGAGTGTTATCAATTGATGTCATGTATGGTGGGAAAGCAAGCCTTCAAGGACTTTATAATTTTGGAAAGCTCTATCCTTCTTAAGTCAGGCAAACAGTGCCATGTCTTCTTCAGGCTACTAGTTGAATACAGAACTTTTCATTATTTAAAGTAACAATAGCAGATTAGCAAAGTGTATTTTAGTTACTTGTAGCTTCTCTTGCGGTCCTATCACTGAGCTCCACTGAGTGGATGTGAATTCTTGTGTGAGGCACAGGAAATGTGGACCATCGCCATGCCTCACCCCAGAACTTAAAGATGCTCTAGCGTGGTGAGAAGCTGTTCCAGCTTTGACCTTGAAGCACTGCCCCTAGTGAGGCAGCAGGTAACTTCTACACCTGCCTATGACCTGCTCCTGGGGCATGGCCTCTTTGGACCTTAAGACCTTGACTACCTCATGATCCTGGATGCTGATTACAAACCAAGTCAGAGTTCTCCAGAGAACCTTGTTGGACTGCACCTCACCTCTCCAGGATCCTATAACTGATCTCGTTGCTGGTTGTAAGTCGCCCCAAATAAACCTCTTTTAACTATCAGAGAGCCCTAGGGTGAATGTTCTGTTCTAAGAAAACTGATCTGTCCCAGTCTACAACTATACTTCCGAATCCTCATCCCTGCCATTCCATTTGTTGGGTGTTATATCTCAACAGCAATTCAAATTCTTCCCTTCATCCAAATTGATTTTAATCACTAGTCTTATCAGCCCCCATTGATTTCAACATAATGTCCCAAGGTTGGCACTGTGAACGCTTCATAATACCTTGAAAATATTTGATTTAGAATAAAAATATCCTGACCATGAGAATAGGTACATGGTGAGAATCGTGTTTTATGTAAGTCTGTGCTAACATTAATGGCGCAACCTATGATTATATGCAAAACAAATGCCAATTAGAATAGTTATTCTTTTGGGTCAGGTACCTAGGGGAAATAGTGCATTTTGCATATTAAAAAAAAAAACTTTTTTCTGAAGCAGCATTCACTCATCCAACAAGTATTTACTTGACGCTTGTTTCTTGTCAGGCATGGTTTCAGTGGAGGGAGCAGTGACCTTTTAATTGACTTTCTAGTCTTATGGGCAGAGAAAGACAAGAAAAAATAAATAAATTAGTAAAGCAGCCTAGTGCGATAGACTAGAAAGGGGCCTGGGATTGTTGGGAATTTGAACTTAATCCTGGCTAGTGAGCACAGGCAGCTGGGCACCCACCCGGGAAGACAGCAAAGATCCAGCAATGCTGAACTAGGCAACCGTGAGGGCACCTCAGGACTGGCATCCTTGGTGGCACAAACAAATATAAAATTTCTAACGCTGAAGTGCACCTGCTGTGCCAAGAAGAGGAAGGAGAAATGAAGGCAGACTAGAAGGAGCTCACTGGGACGAGGTGCCAGCGCAGGGTTTTATGGGGTAATCTTTGCCTTGCACCCTCAGACATGAGGAACCTTGGGTAAAATACATTAAGGCATATGTCTTTGCTTTAAAATTATGATCCTAGGGGCCAGTAAGATGGTTCAAGGGAAAGGCATTTACTGCCAAGCCTGATGACTTGAGTTTGACCCCCATTGCTTACAAGGCAGAAGGGAGACCCGTCTCCTGCAAGTGGTCACCTAATGAATGCATGCCATAGCCCATCCCCCATCACTAATGGATGCATGCCATAGCATGCAGCCCCCTTGCATCGCTAAATAAATAGACGCAAAAGTAAAAGTCTACCTGCTGCTTGTACCACATTTAAGAAGGGAAAGAGAAGTAAGGAGATCGGAGGCTTTTGCAATGATCCAGGGAGAGAGAGGAACATGGGGCATAGGGCAACATGCTCGCAGTGGAGAGGAAGAAAAGAGAAATTTTATATGAAGCCTATTTGGAGAACTACAGGAATTCACAAAAATGGCATGTCCTTTCAACTCATGGGCTGTAAAGACAGATCTCTTACAAATGAGTTTAAGTAAACTTACTACAACTCTATTCTGAGTCCTGTGAGATTACATTTGATAGACTGTGAGGAATAGTTTCCCACTAAGTAGAAAGTAGCCTGTCTGTACAGACGATGCAAATTTCACTTCTTTTGTGAAGTATGGGAGCAGTACTCATTCCAGTCGTGGGGAACAGTTTTGTGATAGATACACGGCAATGTTTTGTACACCTTAGTATAATTCTGAGAAAGAATAATGGTCGGGAAAGTGCCATTGCTGAGAGTTCGCATCTCATTGTGAAGGAACACAAGCTGGCATTTATTCTTCCATGATATGTCTTAGCATTCTAAGCACTGCAAGAATCAAAGGCTGGATCTCAGTACAGATGCCATGTACATTCAGAGACATTACACATGTTAAAAGTTGGCAAGTGAATCCCCTCTCCCACCTTTCCAGGACATTTCCTTGACCTTCTTTCTTGTAGGAATGCTGCCTTTCTCTCCTAACCATTGACAGTGCTATTTCTACCACAAAGTACAGCTCTCTGGGCATACATAACCTGGTGTGCTTTTTTTCTTCAAATTCCCTCACTTGTTTTGGAAAAAAAAAAAACAGCCTTGCTATACACAGCCAAAGTTACTGCTAGCTTATCTAAATGACTTACATAATTCCCTGTTCCTCCCGGGGGGGGGGGGGGGGGGGGGAGTGGGGGAAGGGCTGGTTCAACAGACAGCTGCCTTAAAACAATTACATGGAATCACTAGTCAATGGTAGCCAGAAAGAGCACCCGTCTTTGGGATGGGTAAGGAATTGAGCTTTCTGCAGAAGTAGCCTTCCCCCAACTCTGAGTGTGTGTGTGTGTGTGTGTGTGTGTGTGTGTGTGTGTGTGTGTGTGTGTGTGTGTGTGTGTGCGTGTGTGTGTTGCTTCGCTAGGGAGCCCACCCAGCACAGACAGCTCCAGCTACCGCTCTCAGTTCCAGGACTGACAGAGAAGCCCGCGCCTCCTCCTTCGGTGTCACCGGTAGTTATGCCTCGTGGAAGACCCAGGTGTGCCTGGTAAATCACAGAGCACTCCAATTTTAAAAAGAAAGAAAAACAGTGGAAGTTGGAGACCCGCCTTATCTCCACTCCCTCTCCCCCACCACCCTCCCCTAGGTTTTCACACTCTAGGAGTTACCAGAGAGAAATCGGGTAGATCACCCTTTTCTGTATTGTATAACTAACTATATGAGTCTTCTTGATTACCCCCATTCCTAATCTCCCCTTATACACACACACACACACACACACAGAGAGAGAGAGAGAGAGAGAGAGAGAGAGAGAGAGAGAGAGAGAGAGAGAGAGAGAGAGAGGAGAATCTATTATCACGGTACCTCTACCCAAATAAGCGACTAACAGAGCAGAAATGAAGGAGCCCAAATGAGCAAGCAAGGCTCGAATCAGAGGTCAGTCTGTCTCTCTCATTTGCCCAACATGGGTCCTTCAGATATTAGCATCTCTTCAAGCTACCTGAGGAGCAGCCAACCTGTCTGCTTTTAGCCCATCCCTAATCTGCTACTCAGCATGATTACCTTTCTAAAAAGACCCGGGGAGTTGGATGGTTAAAACTCCGAAATAGAAAAACAAGGTTCAAGTCTTGCAAGGGGAACGACAGCCTGAAAGGGCCGGGCACAGGAGATTGGGACAGAGACACTCCCACTCTGGGGTCCAGTACCCCGGGCAGCCCACTTTTTCCCACGTGGTGGGAAGACGGACAAATTCACCGGGATCCAGAAGGCAGGCGCCCCCACCCCTGCCCAGTGCATCCCATCAGATTACCTAGGAAAACTCCTGGCTTTCCATCCGGACAGAGGCTTCAGGATGCTACAGAAAAATGAGGAAGACAACCCGGGTGCAGAGAAGACCAACCAGGGCACCTCCCCCGCCTTCTAAGAGAGTAGGAGGAGAGGGAAACTTAGGTTTCCATCTGGAGCCCCCAACCACAGGGCGCCGGGAATGCGCCAACTCCAGGAGTGGTACTCTCTCCCTTTGAGGTCTCACATCCATAATGTCCCAGACCTGTCCCACAATCTAGAGCATCCTGCCACCTGCTCCCACTGGGAGCCAAAGCGAAAGGCTGACTCCACGCCCCACTCAGCTCTCACAACCGGATCAGACACCCTCATCTTTCCTCTCTCATACCTCACCCATCAATAAGAGATTTCTCAAAAGTCCCTTAAAAACACCGACTTGAAACTTACCTTTTGAAGAATCCGTCGGTTCGCTGATGTAGAAGCGGGAAGAGTGTCACCGGAGGGGAGGAAAAGATCCGATGGTATTTCTCCTGCTCAAACCCTAAAGATTGAGAAAGATAGGAAGAGACGCCCCCTTAAAGCCGAACTCCACCTCATCCTGGATCATGTGATGGCACCCCGCGAGGATCACCCAAGGTTTTCCCCGCTACCTCCTCCCAACACCGCACCTCAGATGCACACCTCGGGGGTGCGTTGCCTAGGAGTTCTGGAAAGAAAAGCAGTTAAACGTAAGCCACACTGTCAGACCCGTACGCACCGAGCCCTCACCCCTCTAGTCCTTGACTCAGAGGAAGGCGCATTTACAAGCCTGTTTAAAGTCAGTGCCACTGCGATTTCCTTTGTCTGCAGGTCAGTGCCATCTTGTGGCGAAGCCCTTCTCTGAGAGTCCAAGCTTACGCCAGAGTCAAGACTGGAGGGAGAGGAGGTCATTTACCGGAAGGGGGAAGGATGCACTTCAACGCAAAGCCTCCGCTAATGGGTTTGCTGCGCTCGTGACACTCGGGATATTCCATGTTCCAGTACCAAGAAGTTATTTTCTCCAGTTAAGAGAACAAAAAGAAGACCTTCAAAAGGAAAAGGGTCTCCGTTGAGAGCCTTTGAGCCTTTTTTCTCCCTCACTGAGAAAATGCGTTTGAGTCAGTTTTGTTCCTGATGACTAGTTGCCTTTTTAGGGAAGAGGGGACGAGCCCGATAAAGCCAGCATTTTCCCGGTGGTCAGAAAGAGTCAATGCAATTGACTGGTGATTTATCTGATAAAATAGGGAACGTTGTGGGTGTGCTCAGAGGATGTGGCCCTTGCAAGCCCTTCATGGTGTTTGGTGGTTCAGGCTAATTACTGGACACACTGATCTCATATTTCACGTGGTTTTATTTCACTTTGAAAAGTCAAGGCTGAGTAATGCATGCACATAAACACACACACACACACATAAACACACACACACACACACACACACACACACACACACAAACATACCCACGAATGCATGATCTAGGAATTAGAACTTATTTCAATTCAAACTGTTAAGAAATACAAAAACCTTCCTAATATATGGGTGTTGCCTAGGATGCACCTAATTTCATTACAACATAACCACGATTATTTGACATTAAAGTTAAAAAACATCAAATAAAATCCCATGACATGAAATCACGTGAAACTTACACTGGTTAAAAAAAAAAAGATTTCATTTTTGAAGGGTTAGCTCGAATAAAGCTTATTTAATTATTAATGCAAACTTGTTTGTGCACAATCTTTGGGACTTTTGCGGGAAAGCTATCTAAAATATTTTTCACTGGGCATATTTTTCAGTGGCTGGAAGAGAGCTACGATCGGCTTTAAAATGTACCATGTTTGTAGAACAGTAGATAAGCATATACATTAAAGTACTCCGATGATTGAACAGCAAAGTCTCACACCGCCGGTCACACCAAGCATGGAAACAGGGACAGTAGAGGAATGAATTATGCTTCCTTTGAAGTACAGTGCGAGCCTCGTTCATGCTCGTGTTTCTGCTCCTCCTCTGCGTGTTCTGCTCCTCTAAGTCACACTGATCTTAGGAGTTTTTCTATAGCTTTGATCCTCACACCAGCTAGTTTGAGACAGCCATGAGAGCAACAGGTGAGATGGTCCAGTTCTTTACCAAGAATGTGTTCTCCCGGGATATCATTCATGCCAGGAACTGTTTTGGATTTGAGAAGATGATTTAGACTTGGGTACTTTCGTGTTTTTCAAGAATATTGATAAAGTTTCTCTAAAAGGTCTGTATTAATATGGTCATTAAAGTTTATTGCTTTGTTACCTTAGTTTCTATGAAATGTCCCCTTAAAGCGCATGTACAAAGCTGGGTCCCTGAGATATTGACCTCACAAATCAACCTTTGAAAGATCATTGGTCTCAAAGGATTTTTATGACAAATCTTGTGTATAAAGTTTGGAAATGCCCATCAGCAGCATACTTATATAACTTTAGAAACACCCTTTATTATTAAAGGCCATCTCCAGAGCACAAGCCAGAGAGACTGCAAACGAGTTGCAACAGGCAAAACAATTGGAATTCCTCTGAAGATAGATATGAAATTGTAAGATGGTTTCTTCTCCTTTTCTATTTTGAGACAGGATCTGTGTAGCCCAGGCTGGCTTCAGACTCAATATGTAGTCAAGGATATTCTTGAATTTCTGACCCCCCTGCCTCTCCACCCTGAGCATTGTTATCACAGCTCTATGCTATCATCCCTGGTTTGTGTGGCGCTGGGAATTGAAGCCAAGGCTTTGCACATGCTGGGGAAACACTCCGACTGAGCTGCGCCTCCAGCCCTCTTTTCCTATTCCCAAACCAACAACCAGTTGTCTGCTTTCTTATTTGAGATTAGTAGATAAAAATACCACCTTTGCCAGGGAGACATAATTCTGTTTATTTCCTTCTGAAACTTTGTAACAGACTGACTTAATACTCTTGGCTAAGATAATGACCTAACTTTCTCTTGGACAACAGTTTCTCCCTGTCATATAAACTGAAAGATAAATTTTACTCATCAAATCTAAGTAAATATTAGTTTTATCATTTATAAAATGCAACATTTTAACAGCCTAGACCAGCCTTAAAATTCCATGGCATGGGGCTGGGATAAGTACCTTAGTGGTAAGCTTACCTACTATGTGTGATCCCAAGCACTGAAAGTGCATAAGTCATCATCACCCTGCTAGGTGCCGTGGAAGAGAACTGTCATCCAAATGTTCAGGAGAATTCCTGAAATGCTGCGAGGCCCCAACGCAGCTTACTTTCCCACATTGATCATTCAGATGAATCTTGACAAGAATTCACTACTCCATGTGAAAATAAGGCACAGATGAACGACGTTGATGGGAACGTCTGTCCATTGGGCTGGAACTTCCAATGAAAGGCGCCGGTGAATCAGTTCATATTGTATGAACTGATTGTGTGTCAAATTTTCCCTTCTGGTATCCACTGAGTGCACAGGTCTGAACAAGGAGACCAAAGAATGCAAGGTGCAATGTCACTTCATTAAATAGTATTGTAGCTAGGAAAATATAGGAAAAAGTGCCTTCAACAATGTTTTAGATGAAAGTTACGAGCATTAGGATTGAGCCAGGCATGGTGGCCTGTGCTTTCAATCCCAACACTCAGGAGGCAGAGGCATGTATATCTGTGAGTTTGAGGCCATCCTGGTCTACAGAGAGGTCTATAGAGAAACCTCATCTTGAAGAGGGAAAAAAGGTTAGGATTTTTAGGGGTCCTAAAAATTCTAAAGTATTAGGATTTTTTTTTAACTTCATATAGTAGATGTAACTAAATACAATAGAGACAGGTAGTTTGACTAATTAGTATAGTAAAATAGCCCATACCATCATTTTGTTTATTTCTCTTTTTGAGAAAATTGATTAGCAGAAGCAATAATTAACATTAACTTAGATAAAACATGAGTATGCATGTACCAAGGCAAGCAACTGAAACTCTCGTCTGTGAAGATGATATCTGTTCTAATTTCATCTCTGTTCCTGTGATAAACACCATGACCACAGGCAACTTTGGGGAAGGGAGTGAAACTTCTCAGCATATCATGGGAGGAAGGAGGGAACACACACTCAAGCTGGAATTTGAAGCAGAAACCATGGATGGATGCTGCTTTCTAGCTTACTTGAAGGCTTTATGCTGGCTTTTGTATATAGTCCAAGGCCACATGCCCAGGGAATGGTGTTGCCCACGTGAGGCTGGGTCCTCTGGCATCAGCTGACAAGACAATGACCCACAAGCATGACTGTAGGCTCTTTCCCTCCACTGAAATTCTCAGGTGGCTCTAGGCTGGGTCAAACTGGACATTAAAGCTAATTAGGACAGTGTCTGTACTAATTATGTTTCTCCTAGCTCACAAAGGTAACTTACCAGAGGAAAGGTTTATTGTGGCTCATAGTTCAGAAAATCACAGTCCCTCAGAGTAGAGAAAGCACGGCAGTGAAGTGGCTTGGCTTGTGGTGCCCCCTGGAAAGCAGAGAAAGGGGAATGGTAGTGCTCAGATGGCTGTATCCCTAATTCCTTCCTCAGTCTGGAATCGCAGCCAGTGGGATGGCATCACCCACACTCAGGATGGGCTTTCCCTACTCAGTGAATTCCTTCTTGAAACACCCTCAATGGCTTACACAGGTAGATACTTAGAGAATCATTTTCAATCTTGTCAGAAGCTCTCAGTTGCCCCAACATAACATCAACTCCAATAGCTATATATCTAATTGCTTTAAACATCGTCTAAATTAAATGATTTAGCCAATTTATAGCTCACCTACTTTACATGCCCTAGATTAAGCATGCTGACTAATAAAGTACACCAAAACACCGATGCCCTCTGACCTCTCTGAGAACCAGGCTACCCTGCTGTGCAGCAAGGTCACCTACTCAGCAACAATTCTGCATTTCTCCTTCTCCTCCAAGAGTCCCTTTGTCCTCCCTTCCTTCTGAGTGGCAGCTCCACCTCGATGTCTCTGGAAGTTTTCTGGCTGAGAAACACAACCCCCATCCTGCATCCCTCCCAAGAACTACTGCGTAAATAAAGCGTGTACCTTTCTTAATCCTATTTCCTCCGTGACTGACTCTGAAATCACACTAAATGTCCCAAGCTTCCATTTCACTTTTAATACACAGTCATACTCTTTGTCATCAGTTATGTCCTTGTGTGCTCAAATCTCCAACTCTCTATCAGCTGTCCTGGGTCATTATCAGAACCCAAGCACTTCCCTCTCACCCTCTCAAATCCAGCTGAGCTCAGATTCTGGTCTTTCTCTCCTCGAAGTGCCTCCCTTAGCTCTATTTTCGGCATCCATAACTATGCATCACTTTGCTGGACTGTTCTGCCACCATTATCCCCACAAGTGTTCAGTGACATCTCTCCAACTCCGATTGTCAATTGTTCTCAACCTAGATATTTCAAGAAAAGTGTCAATAGACTTTTCAATAATATCCATTTTCATGACGTGCACCCGTCCCCACATACACACACTGGAGTCATCTTGAACAGTCATTCACACTTTTCTGGATGGGACACTCTCTCCCCTCCACACTATTGGCCCGCATCTCACTTGCCCACCCTCTCGGTCTGTCTAACTCAATAATCCCGGAACTTCAGTTGAAGCCCCATCTCGTCTCTGCTTCTTCACCCCTTCTCAAAGCTGACTTTGAATCTTTAGATACATTATTAGAGGGTTACTTCCAATGCAGAGCTTACATTAATTGCACAGATTTGCATGTACACTGTGATGTCTCTGAGACAGTGATTTTTGTCCCCATCTCTTCAAGCTTAGAGCACGGAATAATGCCTGACAGGTCCCCCAATATAGAAAGTGTGTTGATTCTGTTTT